GGATCTATCGTGCCCAGAGTTATCAAGTCAATCATACTGTCTGAAGCAATCGTGTCGAAACGCATCCCTAGTGACATGACAAGCGTTGCTACACAGGTGGCCTTCTTCCAATGTGAGACACGAGTGAGCTCGATGAGCTCTTCCGCAAGTTCTACCTTCTTGCGCTCGATGTTTGCACGCTTACTTGAGATGAACGCTTTCTTCTTTGAGATCCTGTCATCAACATCTTCCTCGGGCGCAAATGGATCGACGACAGTGCGGTCGATGATGGCCATTCGATCGCCGGGCCGAACGTAGTCCATGATCTGGAATAAGCCCTCACCGCAAAGCTTTTGAATTGAGGGTTGGTCGGCAGTACTAGCCTCGATGAATGTCCTGATGACAGCCGGCGTGTATTTCCAATGTCTGCACACTGTCTTTGCCAGACTTCCCGACAACAAGGCAAACAATCCGCCTTTGATTCGGGGAAAATCATTCTTTTCTACTGCTTTCTGGAACGCCGCTAAGAGTGGAGGGATGACGAAAAGTCGAGCTCCGAAAATCACCTTTAGAGCCGATTCACCTGCACTTTGTGCGTTCCGACGAACCTCAGTGTAGAGGGAGACAGCGGACTCCCCAAGGTCTAGCAGAAGTTGTTCGTCGAGTTCTGACCGTGGTCTAGGTGCAGCATTATGCCGGAGTCTCTGGGTATGGTAAACGTTGGCTCGTCGGACGAGTATCGAGCGGGGGTAGTCTTTGCGTACGCCGCTCACTCTGTAGGGCCGCTCGTCGGTGTGCAAGAGTCGAGTAACTCGGTCAAGAACATAGGCCGAGCGTTCGATACCAACATCAACGAACCATGATCGATAGGCAGCATACAGCGAAGCAAAAGACGAGACATCGTCCTCCCCTTCTCGAGTCAGAAAGACATGGACATCATGTAAGACGCGGCCAATCTTCTGTCTGAGTCGATGGACAAGCTTGTAGGTGGTTTCTTCAGGTTTGAGCAACTCCCCTGCGGGATACTGGAAAGAGGGCTTGATCGATGTCTCGTCCGTATCGTCAAGGAAATCGTCAGCCTCGACAATATCATCGCTTTGCTCTGGCGCGTGACCGTTTGCCTGAGACATCGAAGTGTCGGTGTCGGCGTCGACGCCTGCGGCGGTCGTAGTCAGGCCCTCATTGACGCC